TGAGATGCTGATCCATTTTGTGGCTTCATCAGTTCTTTATCCTTGATTTATTTTTGAGATAATCTTTATAAAAATACCTGTGCTTATGTCAGAAGGGAAAACAGAATATTACTGTACATTCTGGACAAATATTTTGATTATTTTTGGAATTTTATTCAATACTTCTATTTGAAACTTAAAATCTAATTTAAAAGAGTAATCTATCATTTGGAAATATCTGTGCTATTTTGTTTGCTGAGGGTTTGAAATTCTGCTTGAGGCAAAGCACTATTTCTCTTCCCTCCCACTAGAATTGAATATTAATGAGAGAAGCCACTGAAGATACCTGAATTTCCAATAGATATCAAAGGACAAGTTTGAGTTTAGATCCCAAAAGAAGGTTTGTGCTTAACGTACGTTGATAATTCATTGCTGTGAACTCCAGCCCAACTTGTACACAGATATCAAGGCTGTCTCAATGCTTAAGCTTAGTGCTTATTAGCTTATTTCATCTGGGGTTTCTCTTTGTGGTTGAGGAGGAGGAGGTTTGAAAATATAGGGAGAATTGGTCACTGAGATCTGAAATATTTTATTGAGGAAACATCTGGAAAACTTAGAAACTTTCATGCACAATGCTGGTAACACCAAAAAAAACACTCACTCCAATCATATTCATATACAATTGGGAAGTCACTGGAAAAATTTTCATTACAATTTCTAAAGTTCTCTGGCTGTTAAGAAAAACATTGCCACACAGCCATTGGCAGCTCCAGGTAGACATGTTAGACCCCCGTACAATTCAAGCAGCTGGGAACCTCACAGCTACTACGTGAAATGGGCAATTTCCAGGATACTTCTATTGAGGAGGAGGGCTTTTTATTAAAGACTTTGCTTTTTGATAAAAATATTGAGCATGGTTGGACAAAAGAAAATCAATTCAGTCACCAAACTGTAGTCTTGCAAATTCAATGATCATTGCCCAATTCCTCTGTTTCTTGAGGAGAGACAGGTATGCCACCACTGATGGCAGCTTTTTGCTTCATTTTTTTCATGTGAATTAATTTGTCAAGTCTGATGCTAAGGAGTAAGTTATAGGTGAGACAGGTGTATCGGTGTAGCTTTTAAAAGCAAATAATAGGCTGGAAACAATGTATTCTTTTTTGGATATTCAATTCCTGAAATCCTAGGGACCCCTCCATGTTCGAGGGCTAAATAAAATTTTTGGCATATGTTTCAAAAAGTATTTGGTGATGCAGCTGTGCATTTTGTTGTCTGATTTTGATGTTTAGGTTTAAATTTATTTCTGACAAGTGTTACGATTTGGATCTGGGAATTCAGTTATATATTCAGCCACAGGAGAAAGGAAAGAATGGGTAAATTGTATGGAGGAAATACTGTACAAAATACAGGACATCACAGAATTCATTAAACTTGTAGAAATTTTGTTTTTCTTCAGACTTCACTATCTAGCAGCTTAATTTGTGTTGCAATTTTAATGCAAAAAAAAAAAAACTATCACATTTAATGTAATATTTTAATTTTAAAATACCTAATGCACGCAGGAAGCTGGGAGGCATGCAACTGCATCTTCAAAGCTCAGTGGCATTTGTGTCACAGTACGGGTACTTTACAGGCAAAATTTAGAACTTTCACAGAGATTTACAAGAAACTTGTTTCTCTTTACAAGATCTAGAGTATTAGACAATTCACATTTCATTCATGAAGGGAGAATAGGTTCTCAGGGATTGGGTATAAGACACTGTCAGGAAACATTTCCTTCCTAACTCTTTTTTTCTGCCATTTACATTTCAATTTGTCTCACCTCCTCTTTCTGAATGCAAAATTGCCTAGTTAATCATGATAGATAAGAAAACACTGAACTCTCTTAAATAAGGCAGCATTGCCTTTTAGTCTTTTTAGACGAGACACTATGCCTTCTCTTTACGAGGACATGCTTCCTTCTTCCAGGCTTGATAGTGCTAAAGCCAATGTCAAAAGCTTTTTCAGTCTACAAAGAGAGTAGACATCTGTTAATCTGATGTTGTGAAGTCAACAAAGGCTACAAGAGGCACAGAGTTAAGTTAAAAGTCACATTCAAATACACTCCAATTATATATGTACAAGCTTCTACTTGCTATCTACAATTAGATAGCTTTCTTTCTGTTGTCACACCACATCTTTCCTTTACAGACAAATATGCCTAATATTTCCAAACTTCTGTTGGGAGTCCAGTGATCAGTAGAGAATCATCTGCCTGAGGAATAAGATTTGGTGAAGACTTCGGAAAAAACACATTCATTAAGAATGCATTTCACATTATCATTTTCAAAGACTACTGCTGCTTGTAACTACTACACTAGCACATTTCTTTTTCTCTCTCAACAATAAATTGAAAATATTTTAATATACCCAACCCCATACTTCCCTGTTTTGCCTGTGAGAATCACTGATATGAACAAGCTAAATTTTCCTATCTCCTTTAATTCCCATTTTTAAGATGCTAAGGATCAATAAATGCATATCTTCAGCACAATTTAGTTCAGCAAATTAGTTTTAAAATGATTCTACATGCAGTGTAGTTCAAATAGAGTATACCAAAACTAGAGGAACATTCCACAAAAGGAATAGGATAAATCAGTTTTCAGGACTCAGACTATTTAAGATGAAGACATTTAAGTAGCACCATCTCCCCCTATGACAGAAGTGCATTTGGCTTTCAGACATGAGCAGAGAGGCTGATATACTGAAGACTTTTGTTCAAATAATTACAAATTTGTCTTTATTATGCAAATCGGCTGTCCTTTATTTCCCATGCTTCAGACTTTATTGAATTGCATACAGAATAGTTCTATACAGTAAATATTTACAGGTTTCAGACAAGAACTGTTGAAATAAACTCATAAATTTTGTTTACCTAATGTCTTCCCAGAATTCAGAACAAGAAAATCCCTAGAATTACTTGAGTGTGAGAGATCCATGATCTGAAGGGAACAGCAGTGTTACCACTTGGCTGAAGCTCATCCCTTGAGCCTTTCATGGTATATATAAAAAAAAAAAAAAAAAAAAAAGCAAAGGAAAATGACCCAAAGATCTGATACATCAGGATAACAATCTAATCTGTCAAAACCTGTCTATCAACCTAAATTATTTTGCTATTTATCTCTGTGAAAAGAAGTAATTTCTCATTGGGATTCATCAACGTTTTTCCCATTCTAGGAATTCTCTGCTAGCTAAAATACTCTTTGACAAAGATATGTAGATTTTACCTCAAATCTAGATTTTTTTTTTTTTTATCATAGCCAAGAAATACTAGGTCCTATGTAGACTATTATTCTGTTCTTTGTAGTAGTACTACAGAAAGAATTCTAGCTTTCCATTAAGTAAATCAAGTACCTAAAAAGCCAAAGGGATCTGTGATATCTCCTCTCTGAGTTACAAAAGACCAAGTAAAATGCTATCTCATATTTAAGATCCCATAAGCGTGTTGAAAACATTCCCAACAAATACCATTGAACCATTTTACAAAACTGTCAGGAGAGGATTTTACCAGATGTTCCTTTAACTGGGCCCAGGATTTCTATTTCACATAGAATAGGTCTGCAAGCTTTTGAGTTCCTCTGCTAACATTATCACATTATAACCTCAATATATCAGACTGGTCAGTCAGTACTACACACTGCCTTAGCTTTCAGAAGGCTGGAAGATCTGCCTGAACCTTTCTGATCAGTTATATGTTATAATAAAGAGAACTGTGGACTCAGGTCATCACCTGACATTCTGGGCAACAGTTTTCAGGTCAGAAGCCAGGTCAGCATCCATTCCTCAGATCTACCCTCCCACAGATGGTTATATCTCACATGCCATAAATCAAGTACAAGAACAAATTTTAATACATCCTGGAAACAAAGAAATATATTTAAAAGGCTTATATCATTATGTCCAGGATTTGTCTTACTCAAAGAAAGGCTTAACCTCCAGCTTCAGATCTATAAGCTACATCATCAATTTAACACCCCTGCCTTTGATTAACTGTTCATATAACAAAGTCAGTTCAGTCACAGGGTCATTGACTTTTCAAGATAAGTGGACTTACAGTCATCTGCCTTTCTAGACCATCCTTTAACACCTTTTTAGAACCTCCTATTATTATTATTTTGTCCCCCACAGTTCTTATAGAAAATTTTAACAACTCCTCCCTTCCTGTGTCTTGCTAACAAAGCCAGTCAAAAACACAAGTCACTGATGAAGCTACATAGAGTACATCTTAAGTACCTTACTTCAAATATGGTTGTCCATTAAATAGAAAAGACCAATTGTAAGTGGTAATTACTGACCATTCCCAGAGGTCAGATAATTGTGCTCCTCGTACACTCGAGCCCCTCCCATCTTATTTCCACCCCCAGTTCTCTTTATCAGTACTTATCTGCTTCAACCCTCTATCAAAGTTTGAGAAAATATCCAAGAAGTTTTTCAACTGCAAACATACACCTAAATTTCTATTTGTTTTGTGGGAATAGAAATATTTGGGCTAGAAACATACTTAAAACCACCAGCCATGGATTTAAGCTGTGCAAGATTTCCTTACAAAATGGGACAACTGTCTTTTTAAAGGCCACAAATCCTGTCTGTAACTTGGATATGGGGGATGATGGGAGGAGATAAATTTATAAGTATTACTTAAACAAGCACTAGAGTGGAAGACAGGTAAGAGCCTGTGGATTTATGGACAGGAGGTTAAGCTGAAAGCACAAACAGAGTAATAGCAAAGTTGAGGGGAATAACAGGATCTGCTGTAAATCAGAAGAAACAAAAAAAAGCAATAAGGTTGAAGAAAAAGTATTTGGAGAAGATATAAAAACAAGCTGAGAAGGAAATTGAGACTAAATAGGCATGAACAAGAGAAGAGGCATGAAACACAGTAGAAAAGGGAGACTAGAATGAATATAAAACTGAATAGAGTAGATATAAAAGTAGGAAGTCACCTGCACATACAATGGAAACAAAAATAACGGAAGTTGTATTACATTATGTTTATTTGCTTTGTAGTGACAAGTTGAATAATTTGCTTGTGAAAAGAAACTAACTTCAGGAATTATTTTAAAAGTGAAATTTTGACATGGTAGACCAGAACAGCTGTTCAAAAGACATTACAGTCCATTGTACAAATTTTTCTTAGTTCAGTGCTTATTGGCTTAATAAAGAGCTCAGCAGGAATCCTTAAAGTCCCCTCTATTAATCTTGCTGTCAGATTGCACAAATTCCAAACCAAAAAAATTATATCCTTAGTCCCCCTACACTTACAGCATGACAAAAATGCAGAGAGTGTCCAATCTATTCTTTCAAAAAGAGAAGGAGGATAAACAGTGAAGATATTGTGCAACGCAGAGGTAACTGGGGAAAAGGAGGCACATTGCTGTGCCTGGCTTCCTCCCATTCCCTTCTCCTTTATCTAAGCTTTATTTTTTCTGATTTTATGTTATGTTCCACATAACTAGTGTTTTCATCTGTTCTGAAGTGAAACAGATCTGTCCCCCCCTCATATCCCAAAATACAAGCAACTTCACTCATCCCTATGTGCCTCTTTCACCAACATGATTACACAAGGAAATGTACCAAAACAAAAACTAACAGAAATCCTGATGCTTGTTGGTACAATTAGCATCTTTATAAGACTTGCTGCTGGGGGAGAGGAAATAATTTTCCCCTGTGATCAAACCAGTTGTACATTAGCTTCTTCTCAGAACCCATACCAATGCATTCAAGCAGCTTTTGGATGGTACTTCACCAAGCAGTGCCCATCTATAAAGCAGTGAGATATGAATCAAACAGCTAGAGGAAAAAGCTAGAGGAAAAAGTTACATTGAAACTCTATGGAATTCTACTAAAATAGATTCATTATCCAGTACATGCAGAAATAGATCCCAAAACATCACTTGTTTCATGTTCTTCTTTCTTAAGCATCATGAATTGCATGACAGTTTTTCTTCCAGATTAGGTAAGCTTTATCTTTGAAATAGGCTTCAGGCTGGATGACATTTTTGCTAATTGAATTGTAAAGTAGTGTGGACATAACCTCAACAACCACTGTTATGATGGTGTGTTTATTACTCACTCAGATTTATTCAACCTGAGCAACATCCAAGGTGTGGGGAAATATTATAGTCAACATGAAGGTGAAAGCCTAATAGGTTGGTTATCTCATTACTGGGAATCTGGCTGGCACCAGTTGCATGTCTGGATAACAACAAAGCCCATCAGTTGGGATCTCACACCAGAGATCAAGCTACTGATGTTGCAATTAACCAAAGACCTAATAGGGAGTTCACCCTATGGAAGGAAATCCTGACAGAAATGCAGGAGAGATATCCCTGTAATGTATGGTACCCAAGTTAAGCAGGTAGTTTCACTATTAAGAGAAGGTCAAGGGATCTGTCCAAGAAATCCAGTTCCTAGGAATAAAATGGCAAGATGAAGATCTACAGTTTGTTACAGGAGCTTATACAAAATACTTAAACATTCATCTGGTCCTCTTTACATCATACAGGTCATCCATTTATGCAAGCAGATTTTTTTGTTTAACTGGAAAATATTGTCTTTAATTCCATAGGGAAGTTTTTTGTTTTGTTTTGTTTTTTAAATCTTTTGACAATACTCTCTGAAGAGTGGTGTGATTGCATCGCTTTTGTCTGGCTCATCTCTCTGAAATGGCTTTTACCTACCAGAACTGTTCATGGTGCATCTGAGTTGTGCATCCGAGGATAAGGCTGAAACAGTTTTCCAACTGTAGTAAACAGAATATGAATAAAAAGCAACAGACTATTGAATGCTATGTAAATTATTCACAAGATTTAAGATGATTGGTTATGTCTTACATGAATCAACATGGTCTTAATTACACTGGCTAGAAATAAAACATTTTTTTACTAAAGGATCAAGGAGCCAAATTTGAAGATAGTAGTCTTTTTGCATGTTTCCTGCCTTCTGTCACAACAGATCAATCCATCATTCAATGCATGATGTGCGTTACTCTTTTAACAGCAATGTTAGTTTTCTTTAGGGCACTGTCATAACAAATACACAATAAAGCATAAATGTGATGTCTTTATATCCTTAGCAGCAGAGGTGTGAGATTGCCTACATTAGCAACTGCCCTTGAGCTAAACAAGATGCCTAAAATTTGAGATCTGTGGAAGATTTTACTATTGTTCTTGGGGGTAAGAATTTGTAGATAACTGATGCCAACATTTACTATGTAGCTTGGTATTGGGGGATTTTGTTCCACTTCTAAAAGACTGTTTTGACAACATAGATTTGTCTATGGGTAAAATTGTTTGAAGATGGGCAGAATGTAACTTGTCATATTTGAAAACACCTATGAATTCAAGATTATCTCTGAAAGTGTTATTTAAAAAACATTAGGGAATTGACAAGCAGTTACTTGGAGTAAAACAGCACAGTCCTTTCAATGTGAATGCCACACTGATTTATACCATATGAGGATCTGCTCATAATAAGATCTATTTAAAAATTAAATATTTATACAACTAAGATAGTACAGAAATTTTAAAAGACTTTTCTTAATCTTGCCAGTAAAATTTTTTTGTGGTTACTACTATGTTTCTATCATGCTGTACTTTCAACCGAGCTACTCCCCCCTCAATTTGTTGCAGGCCATTAAGTCTCTGTATTTGTGAATGACTGTATTGGACATATTAGTTTGAATAAATAGCTTTTTCTTCCTAAAAGCTTTAAAGTTAACAAAAGATAATTACCCTGGAATTAAATATACAAGTGATAAATAGAAGGAAAGGCTTGTTAACAACTAACATCTGAAAAATGAAAATAATTCTCTACCAAAAGAAAAAACAAACAGGCATTTCAATGCAGTTGGGTCCAGCGGAAAGCTCTTCATAAATCCAATGAGTTCTCTCTCTGAATAGTTCCTGGGAGCCAACTACTGTAGATTGCTTTTCCCAGACAGTTTTGTTTATTTATTGGCATCTCCCTTTAAGTCAATGGCATATTCTGTTGAAGTCCTTGTATGTAAGCTGAAGATATTTTAATTAAAAGCTGTAAATTAAGGTCATCGTTTTGAGGATTTCTAAGCATAGTCTCATGCCCTGGATCATGTACACCTCAAGAAACATGTGATTCAGTAACTTTTGTATTTTGTAAGTTCTTTCTGCTGATCTATAGTCCAGATGTTCCACTAGTTATCTGGAAGCCAATATTCTGTTTGGAAACAATTCTTTAACTACAAAATAATGAGTTGACTCATCCGCCTGGAATAATGAAAATAATTCCCCCCTCCTCCATGAGTACAGCTCAGCTTAGTTCACTGATTTAATAGACAGAAAATGCAAGTTTCCTGAATTTTCATTGTCATCTGATTTCGCAAGTACTTAGTACTCACTGCCTGTTCAGACAGTTGTCCAAGTGTTACTAAAAATGTCTTAAGTTTCTCTACACAGATAAGTATACAAAGTTTGAATTTCAGATAAAAAAGTTAAAAGATGTTTGAGCACCACATGAATGTCAGCTGCTTATTCTGTGCTTTTGTTTATAGCAAGCATGCATAAGGAGTTTTCCATTGCAGTCTAGAGTACACATTTTCATGCTTGATTTGACTGTAGATGAGCTGCACATCTGGAGATGTTGAGCTTTGATTTTTGTATGAGCTGAATGAGTTGACTAAATGATCATGCACTTTTAAATGGTCTTTTAGGACAGTATACCCACCTTAACAAAATTATAACCGAACACTTCTGCATTCTAGATAAATCTCCCCTTTACAATATGGACTATGATCATTGTTATTCTGAATTTCCAGATGTTTTATTTGGCATGAGTTCACTTCAAAAACTTTTTCAGTACAAATATCGCTAATTTAAACCATCCAAATCCACTAATTATAGATACTTCTGGAATCAGGATGAATTTCCCACAGTTAACATCAGTGTGCTTAAACATGCTCGCTTACGTAGAAAAATATGTAACTGTTGATCCATAAACACAAAAGTTACAATAAGCCCTGTAAGACCCCCTCCACAGATAAAACAGTAAGCTTTTGATATCTTTAGATAGTAGTTTTAGTGGTTGTATTCAAACAGAGAATCATTAGAAAATCATGTCTATATATATATATATATATATATCTCCATATTTTTACTATTTTTCCTTATCTTTAATGAAGTAGAGTTCAGGATAAAAGTTGATTAAAAGTGTTTGAAGTGTTATATACAGCAGTACTTTAGGTAAAGGGCATCTTTTGAACACCTTAAAAGACAACTAACTGAAGTTTGGTTAACACCTCAAGTACATAGTCAAACATCAATTTGGGGAACATGTATCTACATTTACTGCACTATTATGACATCTTATCCTTAATATTTTTTTCCACCAATAATTAATCTATTAAATTATTTTCTGTTACTAAAGAAAGAATGAAAAAATATGCTAACAAAATTGGATGATGCATGGATGAATATAAATCTGCGAGAAGCTAATTTTACATTATGGCCACAAAGGTGTATGATTTTTTATGACTTTAAATTATTCATATGTGCACAGAAAAAACATATCCAGAAGTTTATACATGTTCTGTAGTATGGCTTATCTGATTACAATACTACATTATTTCATAATGACTTTAGTCATTCCCATGCCATAGGAACGTGTCAAATTTCTGAAGTAATGATGAATGGCAACTTCTAAGCTAGTTTTAATGGCCTTAGCAGTCCCTAAGAGTAGCATCTGTTGATGAGACAAGACAATATTAAAAAAAAAAAAAAAACAACTCAACATGCATCAACCAAATGACGCAGTAGCAGCTAGAAGCATAACAGATTCATTTGCAACAAGACCATGCACAATTGGGCAAATACAAGTTATAAATGAAATGGAGTCTTGGGATTTGTCCTGAAAGATACTGCAGCTGAACTTTGACATAAAACATCCAGGAAAGTATTTCAACAATGCTCACCCAGAAAGAAAAAGCCCTCACCAACCACACTCTGAGTTATAACCAGGGGACAGAACCACACCATTCTCTCTGACTTCAGCTGTCATGATTGGTGAGTAGGCAACAGGTGTTGTTCCTTGGAGGAAAGAATCAGAGTTCCAAGTAAAAGGGAGAAAAGGAGATTTTGTATGGGAAGTTCAGCTGATGAAGAAAAAACTGTGCAGGTAGGAAGAATTCTCTAGCAAGTACATAACAGCCAGAAGAACTTTTCAAAAGACTAGTATTAAATCTGCACAGGGCTATGTGTAATCAATGAATATACAGATGTTATAGCTACAAAATTAACAAGAGAGTTTGGCTGAGCAGGTTATAATAACAAAAGAGAATAGATAGAGTGCTTACCCTTATCCTACACTCACTGCAACACTCCAAAGGAGGGATCTCCAGAAAGGGATCCTTCCCTACTAGTAGGGTGCTCTTAAATGGGTCTAGGAGATGTGCAGCCAGGCTCCACCCCTTCCTGCAGTAGAGGAGAATTGCCTTCACTTGTGCTCCCATGGCTGACTCATTGCTTGCCTCAGGTGATCAATCAGAGGTTGAGGCCTTGATTCAACAGTTCCCATACAGGCTAGAAAAAAAAAAAAATAATGTTTAGAGGAAGATATCTCACTAAGATTGCTTTTGTGTTGCTGGATATAAAAAAAATGCTGTCTTAAAATAGGTGCTGAATCTGAGAAAACATAAAGACATCCAGATTTACTACAGGATTCTGTTGAGACTGTATGCAGAGAAGAAGTTCAAACTTTTCTAAAATGCCCCCAAGTACTAGAATATTTACAGAATGATTACAGTTTAAGAGCTTTACTGAGCTGATATTTCTCTCTTCTGTTTTTTTTTCATATCATCCATAATACTTGTCAACATTTAAACTTTTATGGCCTTAAAATGTAGAATAGCTTGGGGCAGAATTAATTCAATCATAACACTTTTATACTGAAGCAAATCACCAGTAAAATTAACACCCATTAAAACAAAAAATGTTTAAAACCTAATATCTCATTGCAAAACTGTCCATTTAGTGAAACCAAATTAAAATGCAATTAGCTTTATAAGTGATGTATATAATATCTAGGAAGGTCAATTGCTCTGTACTTCACAGCTCTAATTTGTTTTGAGATTAGCTAGTATAAAAGAATTTGGAATGGCTTTTAAAGTTTTTATTTTTGGGGAGTATTTCTTCCTGTATGTTGCCTTCGCATAAGTATTATTACTATGAAAGAGAAGCTGAATAATTAGTTATGAATACTTTTTTGTTTGTCTGCTTTTGATAATAGCTCTGTACGATAGTTTGCAGTAATAAACATCCACATATAAAGAAACTCCACATATTCAAAGATTACAAAGACACCCAACCAAAACCTAAATATCTATCAAAGGGACATTAGACATCTGTTTAATGGTATGAAGAATTACTCCTCTCTAAGTAGCTATTTCTCTTCTATGACCTGTGGAAGATAAGGACAGTGAGCTGAGAAGAATGTTGAGGTTCTACTTTTATTAAATTATTTGATTAGATGAATCTTCACTAACTGTATGTAGTGATTTAATTTGAAGAAAAATGTTTATCATATTGTAAATCCTTTGTGCTAACTCTTGGTAGAGAAAAGATCAATTTCAAACGTTTTTATATTGTTATAAGATGAAAAAAAATCTGTGCCAAAATAATTTGATTCTGCTATACGTTACTCAACAAATTATGAACCAGCATGAGCTGGAAAATAAATTCTCAGCTAGTGCTTTTATGACTCTTCCATGTAAATTATTTAACATCCTTATTCATCTGCTCTTCGTGCTACCAGGTTTTGTTTCTCTTTAGTTACTAGTGAACTAAAAAGGTCTCCTTCCACAGGATATGCAGGTTTGATCTTGCCACTTCTGTACTATGTAAGGAAAAATGTTCCAAACTGTCTGCATTTTCTGTATTTATTTAAATACCACATCCCTCCATATATTGATCAATTATTTTATAATTACTCTTGATCCCATTATGCTAAACATACTTTATCATTTAGCTGCAATTCAATTGGACTTTATCTTCGATATCTCATACATTCCAATATATGTTTTTCTGTCTTTTTCATTTTCATAAATATATCTCTATTATTCTTTGTTTTTTCCACCAACTGCCTTCACTTCACTTAAAACCCAAAGAACTTTTAACCAAAGTTACCTTCGTTTTTGATTGTTTTACAATATTTGATTAATATAAACTACAAAGAGATTTAGAATATAAATTACAAATAGGGGTTTTTTTTGGTAATAGGTTTTCTTGTTTCTTGTGGAATGACCATAGATATGACATTTTATTTACATTTATAAATTACATCAAAGGTTTGGTTGCTATCAGGTAACTATGATTTTCATTTATTTAATAAAGAGAAAATTGGTGTATTTTCTGACTTCGTTGCTCATTTGTATCAAAGAAATATCAGGGAAAAATTACCCTCTGGCCTTATTTCTAGTAAATTACAATTACCGAGCAAACCAGACATAGTCAAGCTTGGAAGAATTTAAATACCTGTTGTTTTGAAAGAGGTTTTTTTCTTTTGACATCTTGGACAAGCTGTTTGGTAGTTTGAGAATAGGTATCACTTCACACCTTAACATATTTTTGTACAGAATGAATATACCTGTGTAAAACCATTGTAAAAGCTTGATGTTTGAATGTTTACATATGCTTATGATAATCATGATAAAAGTATCTAAGGAAATGAGGTTTTATGGGTGTATTAATACATACATATATATATAATTGCCTTTTAACTTAAGTCATATGCCTGAGCTCTATCTTGTCTCATATCCAATGCATCTGGGTGGAAGCCCAGGCTCAACCATGGGTTCTGGACGTGCTCTGGAGCACGATGAGGGAGACAGCATGTGCTCCAGCTGTCTTGGGCATGTGCTTTATGCTCCCACTCTGAGCAGCAGGAACATGCATGAGCAGGTACAATCAGTTATTCAATGTGTGCTCTCCATCACTCTTGGCAGTGATGTCAGACATCTGGCTCTCACTCCCTGGCTCGTGGTCTGTGTACAGTGCATAAGACTAGATAGTTTTGTGTTGTTTGCTGGTGGGTTTGGTGTGTGTACCCTCTTCTTATTCTGATCTGCACAAAGATGCAACATTTGTAGTCTTTATATACCCTATGAAGTGGAAAACTTTGCAGAAAACTATGATCTTAAGTGAATATTACCTAAAGTGAATATCACCTTTGCATAGATAACTATATTTGTGAAAGCATACCTACAGTGAAGAAATCCAATGATTTCTATAGCCTTTTGTTTATTCTGCCATTGATCTTCTTCAGTATGAACAAGTAGTAGCAGGTATCAAATAGGACAAGGGGGAATGGTTTTACACTGAGACAGGGGAGATTTAGGTTGGTTATTAGAAGGAAGTTTTTCACACAGAGGATGGTGTCACACTGGAACAGGTTACTCAGAGAGCTTGTGGATGCCCCATCCCTAGGGGCATTTAAGGCCAAGCTGGATGTGGCCCTGGGCAACCTGGTCTGGTGCTTGGTGACCCTGCACATATCAGGGGGGTTGAAACAAGATAATTTTTGAGGTCTTTTTTAACTCAGACCACGCTATGATTCTATGAAATACATTTCTTTGTAATCTTCAGTTAGTAAAAAAGTAAGTTGAGAGTGTGGCTTGGCTGTATTTTAAGAGAAACAACCCATTACAAATGTTCTTTTTGTGCTTGTCACAAATGTCACAAATTTCACAGCTTGTGTCAGTGGTGGTATGAACCACAATTCCAGAAGAAGACTGTTATCTTAAGTAGATCAGAAGTTCTGAAGGAGCTGGCTGAAGTGGTTGCCGAGCCGCTCTCCATCATATTTGAAAAGTCGTGGCTGTCAGGTGAGGTCCCAGATGACTGGAGTTAGGGTCACATCACTCCCATTTACAAGAAAGGGAGCAAGGAGGACCCCAGGAACTACAGGCCAGTGAGTCTCACCTCTGTGCCTGGGAAGATCATGGAACAGATCATCCTGGATGACATGCTTGATCACATGAGGAATGGGCATATGATCTGAGACAGCCAGCATGGCTTCAACAAAAGAAGATCATGCTTGACCAATCTGGTGGCCTTCTATGATGGAGTGACGGCATTGGTGGACAAGGGAAAGGTGGCCAATGTGATTTACCTGGACTTGAGCAAGGCCTTTGACATGGTCCGCCACCACATCCTTATCTATAAATTGGAGGAATGTGGATTTGATGGGTGGACCACTCAATGGATAAGAAACTGGTTGAAAGACCGCAGACAGAGTGGTCATCAATGGCTCTATGTCCAGGTGGAGGCTGGTAATGAGCGGCATCCCACAGGGGTCTGTCTTGGGGCCAGTGCTCTTTAACATCTTTATCAATGACATTCATGACAGAATCAAATGCACCCTCAGCAAGTTTGCTGACGACATCAACCTGAGTGGTGCGTTTGACACAGTTGAAGGAAGGGATGCCATTCAGAGGGACTTCGAGAGGCTAGAAAGGTGGGCCCAGGTGAACCTGATGAAGTTCAACACAGCAAAGTGCAGAGTTTTGCACTTGGGCCAGAGGAATCCCAGTCATCCATACAGACTGGAAGGAGCAGTCCTTGAGAGCAGCCCTGCAGAGAAGGACCTGGAGGTCTTGATAGATGAAAAACTTAACATGAGCCAGCAGTGTGCCCTTGCGGCTCGGAAGGCAAATTGTATCCTAGGCTCCATCAAAAGAAGGGTGGCCAACAGGGACAGGGAGGTGATTGTCCTCCTCTACTCTGCTCTTGTGAGGCCCCATCTGGAGTACTGTGTCCAAGTGTGGAGCCCCCAAAACAAGAAAGATGGGGAGCTGTGGGAGAAGGTCCAGAGGAGGGCCACAAAGATGGAACTGGAGCACCTCCCCTATGAAGACAGGCTGAGGGAGCTGGGCTTGTTCAGCCTGGAGAAAAGAAGGCTGTGGGGTGACCTCATTGCAGAATTTCAAAACCTAAAATGAGCCCACAAAGAGGAGGGGAATCAACTCTTTGAAAGGGTTGATAACTGCAGGACAAGAGGAAATGGTTTTAAGTTGAGGGAGGGGAGATTTAGGTTAGATATTAGGAGGAAGTTTTTCACACAGAGAGTGGTGATTGCCCAAGGAGATTGTGGATGCCCCATCCCTGGAGGCATTCACGGCCAGATTGGATATGGCTATGGGCAGCCTTGTCTAGTGGTTGGCAACCCTGCACATAGCAGGGGGCCTGAAACAAGATGATCATTATGGTTCTTTTCAACCCTGGCCATTCTGTGATTCTGTGATTCAAATTTTTATTTCAGTTTACTTATATTCTCAGAAAATAGCTTCATGATCGTTTTACTTGATGATAAGTTTGTAAGAGCCTTTGCAGTCTCTGCAAATCAAAGTGGAACAAAAGGTTTACAGAGAACCTCTTTGAC